TCAGCTGATCGATCAATGAGAATAAACAGTGAATCTGTCAGAAAGAAGAATATTAAGTCTGATTGTTAAAATGATAAAAATACAGAATACAGACAGAATGGATCAATATATCAAGAAAACTCATCTCTGATCAATATTCACAGGAAATAATCAAACTTCCTGCAGTGATTGAGTTCACTGGGTTCATTGATCAGTTGATCAGCTGTTCTCTGCTGTTATTGATATTCTTTGTTTTGTCACAAGATCATGTTCTCTATATTACATAAAAATGATATAATATTTGTATAATAATATAATATAAATGATTGCATTGTTTTTTAATATCCTAAATTAAACAGTTCATATAGAAACAAAACCTGTAGTATAAGTTCAATAAAATCATATCAGAGTTTCATATCTGACAGTGTAGGTAAAAACATTTTGAATAAAATGTAAAGAAAATATAACTATAATTCTTATTATTTATGAGTAAATCAAATTTTGTGGCGCTTCTTAAATACCCTAAATATTGAACAGAGTTTGGTTGGTGTGATGTGGTTCTGCTGAGGGAGTCTGGACTCCTGGGTACGTCCCTGTGTGTTTATAGATCGACTGATCGGGTCTCTGATTGGCTCTGTGATTGTGTTCGTTCGGTCTTTCCTTCGACTCCACAGCTTTTTTTTCTTTTCATCATCTTTCAACCAAAAACAGGAAACTGAAGTCTGGTTAGAGCAAGAGAACAGGTTGTTTCTCTGAGATGAAACCTGATGCAGGTTTGTTTCTGCTGACCTTCCTCTCCTCCGCTCACACAGATCTTCGTTTTGTTTCTTTAATGCCTCAAACACTGCGGTTCAATATTCCCTCTGTCCAATCTCACCTGCTGTCACCCTGCACCACCTGCTTTCTGCTTCTTATTCTTCAAAGAATGTGTTTTTTGAGAAATCTTCGGCGCCTCCTTCCTCGCTGCAGCCCGTTCATTCGCTCCCTCGCTCTCGGACTCTCACCTCCTCAGGTAGATTGAGTTTTCAAGGTGAACGTCCCATTACAGGAGAAGGTTGACAAATTAATTTGGTGGGCGCCTTGTTGCAGTGTGGGTAGCGATAGTGACCGGCCTGTCAATTTGAGAAATGAGGTGTAGCTCAGCAAGCCAGATGGGAGAGAAATTGAACAGCACATTAGCTAATTACTTATGCAAATCACCGCCAGTCGCTGCACCTTAACTTAAGCAGGCTGGATGACACTCGGGGAGGCTGGTGGAGAGTTTTAGCTAATGCTAATCCAGACGTACCCCCCCATACAGCCCCCTCAGCCCCTCACCTGCTGCAGGAGCAAAAAACCTGCAGCCGAGCAGAAAATAGATCACACCATGTGAAACAAATATTGTCTCACCTCAGAGAAAGAGACACTGAGAGGAAGTTTCACAGTGTCTCAACTTTTGATGTTAAGTTCATTAATGAGAAAGCAGATCAGACACAGGAGTTAATGGAACAAACAGGCTGTTCTTTGAGTGTTAAACTTATTCTGACAGTTTTTATGAATAACTGTAGAAATAAAAGTCTCTTATAAATGTCAGCTGGACGTCTGAACACCAATAAACTGAGCTGGTGACGCTCTGCCTCTTGTTCTCAAAGGTTTCTACACCAGTGACCCCGAAACTGACAGTGGTTGATGGTTGTAGTCAGTGGTTGGTGGTTGTAGTCAGTGGTTGTAGTCAGTGGTTGGTGGTTGTAGTCAGTGGTTGTAGTCAGGTTTAATGAATGACGCATGCACAAAGGGGATATGATGCCATTGATTATAGATTATTGATTGAATTAGCGCCATACAGAACAGAGCTCTAGAGTTAATACACTGTTTAATAAGGAAATGTTAGATTTTAAAAAGAAAGAAATGAAGATAATGTGTGAAATAAAGGACAGAAAATGGTGATTGATGAAGATAATTAAACATCAGAATGACTGCATCACATCTGCACACACACACACACACACACACACACACCAGTCAGCCTACATTAGTTTATTAAGACTCCTACATTGACCATCAGGAGCCTCCTGTGTAGCTGATCCCTCCCCATCTGCAGACTAAAACCTCCTCCTCCTCCTCCTCCTCTTCATCACTACCCAGCGTCCCGGCCTGAGACTCGGTGGCCAGGTGTTCATTTAACGCCTAACGGCAGCTCAGTAAGGACGCCCCTGAGTCCGCTTCACGCCGCCGCCAGCCGAGCGAAGACTCTGCTCTGCCAAAACTCCCCTCTCCCCCATAAACCCCCCTTACCCTCCTCCCTCCTTCCTCCTCCTCCCTCCCTCCTTTCTTTCTTTCTTTCCTTCCTTCCCTCTTTCTATTGTTTAAACTCGTATGTGTTAACCTCGGCACTGATGTCACCTCCGTCCTCTCCTGGTGATAAACTGTGCAGACGTCCAGCAGCTGGACACTAAAGGCTCCTTTACAGCTGGATGTATGGGAAGCAGGATGGGACATATTTGCTTTACATACACGAGCGGTTTTTATAGTATTTAGCAATCCTGGTGGTGAATTTTAAACCAGACTGACCACACAGCAAAATACTGATGGAAAATAAGATAAAAAGACGACTTCATTGATACGAAACCTTCAAAAAAATCAAATTTTAGCAGATTGCTTCTAGTTATTTAGTGAATTGTGAGTCATCATCAGATAAAGGTGAATGCAGGAAACAGGAAGGAGTCTTTTCACTTTCAAGATTTTGACAAATAAAAGCACATTATGTAATAAAAATTAAACACAAATACGTGTATAAGTTTGTTGTTTTTTTGCTAAACTGACTTTGTTACTTACCAAAGTATAAAGCAAACGGAAGACGTCAAAGTGATATTCAACCAATTTCATAAAGGCACAAACACAGGAGTTTTTTAATGCTTTATACATACAGACATGAGCTTTTGTGCTTTCAGACAATGTTTGTTAAGGTGTGTGAGGATTCAAACAGATATCATCCCAAACTCAGGTTGGACCAGAATATTCGGCTATTATTTGTTTGGTAGATATTTAGATAATCGTACACACCCCTGTCTCTTACTGCACACCAGCCTGCCCCACCTCCACCTCTTTCTCGGCTTCTCTCTCGCTGCAGAGCGCGTGACATTGTCAGTAGACAGGAGAGGGAAGGATTACCTAATTGATCGTGGATGGTGAATTAAAGCCCAAAAAAGCCCCCAAATCCCAGAGAATATGGTATTCGGGACAACCCTATCCCAAAGACAAAATTTAACAATCCTCAAAGTTGCCTGTTTGAGGTTGCTTCTTGTTGAGACATTAAAGACAAATTATCATTAAGATAAATGTAGAAAATATTATTAAAAATGTAAAATAAATATAGATTATGTGTTTAGATCTGGAGGCAAACCTGAGAACAGCAGGAGATGATAGGATGCAGTAGTTCAGTGAACCACTGCTCTCTATGTGGATGCAAACAGGGGTTACAGGGGTTACAGTGGGTGAGGAAGCAGGCGTGTTGTGGAGGGTGGGGGTGGCATCCTCCTCTGTTTTCTCTCCCAGCATGCACGGCATTCCCTCCCCGGGCTCTACAGCGGGGCTTAGTGTTTTGTACGTGGACCGTCTCCCTAATCACACCTCGCTAATCCGACCTGTCAAAACCAAACCTGACGCTCCAATCAAAGACCCCCAGATCCTGCGCGGTCACCCTTTAATTAGCTCGTCCCGGCCGCTGCTAGAGGATGCTGGGAAAAAAGAAAAGGAAGTTGAGTGAAAGAGACAAAGACAAAGTGAGTGCTGGAGCTCTCCTCCTCCTCGTTCCTCTGGAGGCTCCGTGTCCGTTAAAATCGAGCCGAGCCGGGGGCGCCGGGCCACCTAGTTCGGAGAGCAGGTGTGTGTGCGTACAGGAAGTGAGGATGATAGACTCGCCCGTGTGTGTGTGTGTGTGTGTGTGTGTGTGTGAGTACAAGCATTGATCCATCGATCGGAGTCGGTGTGGCCCCCCGAGCGCCGGCAGGCTTAACTGTTATTACTGCTGTGGCTGTTTAGCCGTCAGTCATTAATTAATGCACTCACAGTGTTAGCTCTCTCCACCTGTCAGTCACACACACTCTTACACACACACACACACACACACACACACACACACTCACACACTCTCACACACACACACACTCACA